AATTCTTTGATTCTATTATTTAAATTTTAAAAAAATTTTAAGATTTATTTTATTTATGCATCTAAGAACTGGGGTGTATGTCAGAAGTGTGTGGGGGATGAGAGGATTCACCAGAGACAGAGTGGGAAGCAGAACAGGAAGATTGAAATACACGGTGGAGGGGAACAGCAGGTGGGACAGGAGAGGTCTGCTATACTATGTGGGTCACCTCCCTGGCTGGGTATCAAGCTCCTCATGCTGCTGTGGCTGCCAGTAGTTTCGTTGTGCTGAGACTTAACACCAATGAAAGAATGTTAGACAAATTGGTCTCTTTGTGGCCTGATATGGAAAGGTTCTCTAAAACAGTAGGCTAGAACTGGATGAAGACCAGATTACCTCAGGCATTGGCTTCAAGATGCAGCCAGGATTCCCAAGGAAGATTTCTCATTTGGCCTTCCTCAGCCTTTACTGACACTAGCCTGCTAGCTGTCCTTTATGCCATAATGTGACTGTACTGTTAAATTGTGTGATTGCCTTCTGTCCATAGCAGGGACAGAACTCCTATTATTCAAACCAAATATGCTAGATGACTTGCTTTTGCTTATGAGTTCCCAGAATCTATGCTTTGACAAGCACAAACCAGTTCGGCAAGGCCAGGCCTGAGGAGGGATTCAGCCTGTAAAGATATAGTGAACCTCTTTAAAGTCAGAGAGTTGTTTACTTAAAATACCACAAAGGGGGCCTTTCTGGTTGCACAGGGGTTAAGGCGAAACACAATGAAGCTATCCACAGTCACTTCTGCACAAGTTTAATCTCCAGCCAGGGAGGTGACCCACATGGTGTGGTAGACCTCTTCTGTCTCTCCCACTGTTCCCCAATAAATACATCTTTAAAAAAAAAACAACAGCAACAAAGAAAGGAAGGCATACCGGTGCCATCTGTCTCATGGTCCTTGTCCCACACACCAAACAACAAAAGGGGCCAGATGACAAGCAATATCAAGTGTGAGATGCCTGGTGCTGAGGAAACAGTTCTAGATGACAGCTAGAAAGCCCCACACCTCATCATAAGCTAAGAGGAGATGAGAAACTATCTGGAGACAGCCTCCCAGAGGTGATTGCCTCCTGGCCCTCTTGCTCTGGCAAGATCACAAAGCATTTTGCAAAGACTCATCTAAGCTTCTGGTCAAACTTTTGTCTGTGGGGCTTAGGTGGATACATGTAGTTTCGAATGTGTGGTGCTGACGTTCCGCTACAGCTTCTTTCAGGGGGTTGAGGCTTTTCAAACCTGCTAGAATGAAAACCAAGAAGGATGAATGCAAGCCTAGTTCAAGCCATAGTCATGTGACATAAGTAAGCTCTTGAAACCTCTGGCTTTTTTTTTTTTTTTTAATTCATGAGGTAATTATCTTTGTTTGTTTGGGAGAGGTCTTTTTCCTCTAATTTAAAGGTCAACTGCACAAAGACAGAGTGAGATCTTGTCTATTTTGTTCACTGTTGTAGCCCCAAAGCCGGAAACAGTGATAAGAGGTGGTAGTGATTCAACAGTCACATGTTGGATGAGTGAAAGGAAATGCAAGATATTGCACTGTGTTTTGTTAGTGTATGTAAGTACATTTAAAGCCTTAAAAGCCGCTTTTGGTACATTTGCAGGAAATTCAGAGGAAACACGGTGAAATGACTATACCTTTCTTATAGGAAATTTCAACTACAAAAAGCCTGAGGGATGATTCATTGAACCACAATGGATAATTACAGACTGAAAAGTGGAACATGGCATTCAAATGGATCTTTTATTAGGACAATTACAATAAATTCTAATGGCACAGACCCATGACACAGGGCTCCTTATAACAGTAAAAAACTGGGACGCCCAGTTTCCACTGTTTCTACTACCATTTCCTGGGCACATCCCCGGGCTCCGTTTTTTCTCTCAGCCAATGGGTGCCGTGGACTAGAAGAAATGGGCCTGTTTCTGATTTTAGCAAATCACTCACATCCCTGTCCTAGGCTCCACACGGATCCACACAGTTTCCTTAATTGTGACTAAGAGATGTGTTATTTCTCTTCTACAGATAAAGTCAACATGGCTTAAAGAGATGGAATGGCTCACTAACTTCTGCCCGACGCAAGCTTTCTGACTCCCAAGTTCAGATTTCTTTTCACCACACCAAGGAGACACTCTGAAATCCTATAGCCCCGGTCTCTCGTCCTGACTAAGTCATCTCTTTGAAGAGGCCGGGTTTTTTGATGTTGTTTTCTGGATTGCTCCCTGCTCTAATCTCAGAGTCTACAAATCGGCCTGGCATATAGCGGGTACTCGATGTGTGTCTGTGTAATGGAAACATGCGCTTCAGTTGACCCGTCCCCTTCCTGGTTTTCGTCTTTGTGTCCAACCCGGTTGGACTGTCCTGCTCCCTTCCTGCGCTTCGTTCGTTCCTCCGGCCACTAGACGGCGCTGTCATAACAGACCCCGCCCAACAAGGAGCAGGGTCTTTCTTCGCCCCGCCGCACCTTCGTTGTCGGAGGGCGGGGCGCTAGGAACCGGAAGTGCTAGAACCGCCGCAGCCGCTGCAGCCGCCTTTAAGTGCCGCGTTCGCCTCCGGGATTGGTACCGGCGCGCCGCCGAGAAAGCAGCTGCAACCGGGTCGGGAGTGGAGGCGGCGCGGCATGAAGCGGCGCAGACCCGCTCCGTAGCTCGCGTCGGGACGGTCCGGGCTGGGCCGGGGCGGGGGGAAGGTGCAGTATCCGCCCCCTCTCTTTTCCCTTCGCCTGCGAGGCCTGGGCCCTAGCCCACCCCGGCCCTCTCCGCCTCTCGGAGGGATCTCCCGGTGCGTCTTCCCGGGTAGCCCGCTGTGCGGTTTGCCAGGCGAGCCATCCTGCGCGGGCCATGGCCGGTGGCGGGGCCCCGCTTGCCGGAAGAGGAAGCCGAGGCTCAGATTCCGAGTCAGCCAACGTCCACTGGGCATCCCAGAGCGCTGGGTGCTGGCCTCCGGACCGCCACGTCCGTTATCTAGTTGAACCTCGCTGGGGTGGGAAGCGGGTTTTGTCCGGGCTTACAGTTGAGGAAACGGAAGCCAGCAACGGCGAAGGGATTTGCCTGATGTCCGACTGTGGCAAATCAGATTCGTACCGAGATTTTCTGGTTTTCCAGCTGGTGTTCTTGCTTTCTACTGCCTCACTCCAGGTCTCTTCCCTCTCTGCCCCTCTCTCATTCTGTTTCACCCACCTTTGGCAGGAAAGATGGTTGTCTTGCCTTTTTCAAATCTGTCCTCCCACACGCTTTTCTTTTACTACTTGGCATCTTCCTAATCCGTCTTTTCAACATTCTCTGCTACATCACTCTTTCTTCCTCATTCATGGTTTCGGCGATTTTTGCCCACCTTGGTAGTCCTGAACCTCTCAACTAGCTGAGGACCCAGAGCTAGGCTTAAACGAGGCCTTGGCATTTAAGTGAATCAGTGTTTGGCTCTTGTGTTAAAAAGTAAGGAATGACATTTGGGTGGGTCCAAATTCAAGAGTCCTGAAACTATTTCCTAACCCCTGTAAGCTCTTCTTTGAAGGAGTTAGTGCATGGAAAGGTGTCTTGACATCTAAGTCAGTTGTTGCTGTACTAGTTAACCTCACCATTTTCCTTCCATTTCCACAAAGCTTTTTTTCATCACATCTCTCTCCATCACGCACTCAAGACTGTGAGAACTCAGAATTAAAGCTGATAACTCACAGGTGTAATCACAAACCCTTCTTTTTTTCTTTTACGAAACCAGAATATGTCAACGTGAAAAACTTGTTACAGAAAAGTTACCTAATTCAATTATTTTAAGAGTACACATGGAAAGAAGAGTGGAATGCACTCTTGTGAAAACCTAAATAAATAATTTAGTTCCCTTTCCATTAAAAAAAAAAAAGGCCTGGTCTAGAATTCTTACTGGCTATTCGACTGAGTCCATTTGGTCACCAACTAGCTAAGTATTGTGTAAGATAATATAGACATGTTATGTAAAAGACATGATGGACCAGGCACATAGAAATTTACTAATTATCTGCAATTTTTTGGCAATAGTCACCAAGTAACCTGCTTGTTTGTCTTTTAATGCTTTTTAAGTTTCTCCATTTTATTGTGCGGTTCGATGTCTTGATTTACACTGTGAGGGTATCCTTTTGACAGTTGAGCTACAACTTTGTGGAACAATTTTAGAATGTTAATTTAAATGCTGATACAAAATTGACATGTGTGTTACACCAGAAAGACTATTTCTGTATCTTCTTAAGTACTACTTGAAACTTCTTAATCTTTTTGGCAATGATCACTTTTAATACTGATCAGCAACCTAATATCTTATTTCACTATCCTGGTGAGTAGGATTGGATGGTGAGAAAAGGAAAGACTCCTGTGAGAAGAGAGCAGAATGAGCAGAGGGATCTATGCTTGAAGTTGAGTCACTTGAAAAAAGATCTCTTTGAATGTGGAAGAGATCTGAGCAGATGAAAATACAGTCAGGTAGGCACCCAGGAAAGGTCTTTTAAGTGAAGAGGTAGGTGGGGCAGTGAAGTATATGTGCTATGCTGAGGATGTGGGTTGATCCTGTTTATAATTTTTGAAATCAGAAAACTTTGGTCACAACTTTGAGAATATTTGTATAGATGGTGTTAGAGAAATTTGGAAATCATTTAGGTACACATTTGTGTAAATTACTAAAATTTTGTGATTTCACATCTATTTTAGCAATAGGCAAGATAAACACTCACCATTAAACATATGGAGTAATAGAGTGTAATTTGAATTGTTAAGTCTTTGTGTATGTGTATAGAGACAGAGATAGCCTAAGGACCTCATAAAATTTAGGAATACCAGATATTTTTGTTTAAGTGTGAGATGTCAAGGTAACCATGTTTCAAGAAGCAGGGCAGTGAGACTTGTAATGTATGAGCTTAACCCCATGCTTATAAGCAGCAGTTTGGAGATGAACTTCCAAATTTTACAAGAGTAGTTGCAAATGAGCCTACTTTAACTTCTGGCACTTATTCCCTTTGTTAGATATAAAACTGAAAATAGATCCAGTGATAGTTGATAAAAGTAGACCGCTATTAGCTTTTAAATGGCAAAAAAACCACCACTGTCATATTATTAGCTAAATAACCTTTTTGCTGAGCTATTTGGATTTTAATCATTGGAGATAAGTGCCCAGTTGTAATGATACAAAGTGTATACCTGTTGTAACTGTCTGAAGAGTTTTCTGACTACTTTTTGTTACATTGAAACAGTATAGTTCACTATAGCATGTAACACACAATCTCTTGGCCACATAGTTCAGTTCATTTTGCATGTTTTACTGCATACCACACGTACTCATTCATGGTCCAAATCTCTTAATTTTTCTCTGTGGTCGGTGCATCTTACCATGAACTAATGTTAATCTGCAAAATTGAATTTTAAAAAAAGATATAAATGTATAGCCATGTAGCCAGTATTAGGTTGTTTTCAAGTTGATTACATAAGCACAATCTAGTTTATTTCCCAAAACCATATTTTTGATATTTATTAGTTCAAAAAGAACAAGTAGCCTAGAATTTTTTGTATGTTGGTTCTTTTTGGTACTTGTCATAAATAATGTATATAAGAATATCACAGAATGGCTTATGGTAACACTTGGTTATTTTTCTGATACTTTGCTCCTATTATATTTAAATATTGCAGTTAGATAAAGGAAAAACATATCCCCTTCTGGATTTTAATATGTAAAGAAATGTTAGTAGGTGAAATACTCTTTTGGGTTGAACTAGTAAATTGGGTTCAGATTTTTATCAGGTATTGATAGTAGAAATGTTAAATGCTTTCTATATCAACTGCAGTAATTAAAGTCTCTTGAAGATAGTATCTTTTTCATTTAATCCTGAGTGTAAACATTCTGTAATTGGTATTAATAGTCACAAATTACTAGTTACCACAAGTGATCATAACAGTAATGTCAAAGCAAGACAAAAATGTGCCATCAATCTAAGTCTTGTTTGGAGTTCAATTTAACAGGAAATCACATTTATATTATCTTGGTTTAGTGCCTTACTACAAGTACACTGTGAGATTATTTTTGTTAGCTGAAGAAGACCAGGTTTAGCAAATGTGTTACTTTTTTAAGTGCAAAAACACATCTCCTTTGGCACATTCAGCTTCACTATTGACATGCTCTTGGATGGAGCATAGCAGCCAACTGGCATATGGCCTGTTTCCTTCCAGTGTGGGAAAGTAAAAAGGAATTTTGGCAAGAGATACCTAAGGAGAGCCTTTTGTAAAAGTTCCCAAAGGGATTTATAGTCACTGTGAAATAGACATGACCTCAATTTTTTTTTTTTTTGAATCTCATTTTTAAAGTGAACACAGAGAAGGGGGAGCTATTGCTTTTCTTACCGCCTTATACTGCAACTGTGGTGAAAAGCATTTTTTCTTTTATTTTGCAGAATAGGAATCTATCAGACTGTCATTCTGAGTAATATAAGAGAAGGCAGGCTTGTGAATAACTTCCTGTGCCTTGTTTTTCTAGGAAAATGCAACATGGCAGCAGCGATGGAAACAGAGCAGCTGGGCGTTGAGATCTTTGAAACTGCAGAGTGTGAGGAGCATATTGAATCACAGGATCAGCCTAAATTGGAGCCATTTTATGTTGAGCGGTATTCCTGGAGTCAGCTGAAAAAGCTGCTTGCTGATACCAGAAAATATCATGGCTACATGATGGCAAAGGCACCACATGATTTTATGTTTGTAAAGAGGAATGACCCAGATGGGCCTCATTCAGACAGGATCTATTACCTTGGTGAGTATAAAATCATATTTTCTAAGATGAAATATTTTCTTAGTTCAGACTTGGAGAATTGGCACTCAAATTTTGGTAAATAAATGGAATTAGTGATTTCCATTAAAGAAAAAGATTGACTTGAACATCTTTAGTTTTGGTGCTGTTTTAATTTTGACTTACCCCATTAACAAGTTTTACTTGTATTTACAGTGTGTTTATTAAAAAATATTTTCATCATATCTATAAAACAAATTGTCAATTGATCATACTCTTAGTTTCAAAGCCAGAGAGACCAGAAATTACTTCCTTCTTGTCAGATGCCTTCCCTTAGGAATGATCCGATTAGGAACATAAACAATAAAACCATTAGTTTATTCCCACTCTCAACACCTGCTGCTTTCATTTTTTTAGACAAAGGCTGGTTTGCCATCTTTTTAAAAAAAGATTTATGCATACAAAAACTGGGGCATAGGCTAGAGACGGGGGGGGGGGGAGAGACAGAGTGGGGAGCAGAACAGACAGATGTACTGAAATACACTGCTGAGAGGAGCAATGGATGAGACAGGAGAGGTCCGTTGTGCCATGTGGGTCACCTCCCTGGAGGGCCAGAGAGCGAACTCCTGCTGTAGTGGCTGGCAATAGCTTGATAATACTGTCTTTAACTCCTGTGCCACTGGGGAGGCCCTGCTTTGGCATCTTGTACTTTTTAGCACACAGACCAGATTTAAGATCTGTCCAAAGTAATTATAGTAGACCACTGATTTACTTTTTGTTCATTAACTTTTAAAAAATGTTTCCTCTCCACCTCTAAAACTGTTTCATTTGTGTGTTTGTGTTTATTTATAGTCCTTATGTTTTCTAAATATTTCTAGTATTGAGATTTTATATGCATGTAACATATACATGCATATATTTAGAGATTTTTCTCACACTTTGTAGGTCTTAGCAATTTCAAAATATTTCATTACATAGTTGTGCTATATTTTATTTAACTAGGTGCTAATAATGGGCATTTAGGTTTTTTGAAATCGCTATTACAAAAGAATATTTAGATCAGCTTATATATGTGAATGTATACTAATTCCCATGAATAGAATTGGAAGGAAAAAGGTATATATATTTTGAATTTTGATGGATATTACCCCTCCAGAGAGGTTATAGAATTAGTATTCCTGTCAGCATTGTCTCAGAGTAGGTATTTCTCTACACCTATGACAATAGTGAGTAATCACTTTTTGATATTTCCCAGTATAATTCATGAACAGCAGTCTCTCATTGAAGTTTTGATTTATATTTGACTTAAGAGTGAAGTTGGGCCTCCCTGGTGGCCCAGAGGTTAAGTCTCAGCACAATGCAGCTGTTAGCAGTAAGAGTTTGATCCCCAGCCAGGGAGCTAAGCCTACATGGTACAGTAGACCTCTCCTGTCTTTCCCACTGCTTCTTTCAGCAGTGTATTTCAGTTGATCTACCTGTTCTGTTCCCCACTCTGTCTCTGTTGAATCTTCTTGCCCCTCACCTCCTGTATCCCGGTTCTTATATACATAAATAAGTAACTTTTTTAATAAAGAAAAGTGAGGTCGAGCATCTTTTCATGTACTAATGAGATAGTTGAATTTCCTTTTCTGTGATTGTAATCGTTGTCTATTTTGTATAGGTTTATGGATAATTTTCATACTGACTTGAAGCATTTTTTTTTTTTTTAAAGATTTATTTATTTATTCATGCAGAACCGGGGTACAGGCCAGAGATGCGGAGGGTGAGAGGATTCACCAGAGACAGAGTGGGGAGCAGAACAGGCAGATCGACGAAGTACACTGCTGAGGGGAGCAGCGGGCGGGTCAGGAGAGGTCTGCCACGCCATGTGTTCACCTCCGGGGCAGGCGGGAATCGAACTCATGAGGAAGCGGCTTTAGATTCTCAGTGCTGTGCTTTAACCCGCTGCACCACCAGGGAGGGCCTAAGCATTGTTTTTTTTTATAAAGAGGAAGTTAACCTGTGTGGTATTTTCCCCTGAGATTTAATTTGGGAAATCACATTTTACCTTTACTGCCTTTGCCATGTAGATAATTGTGGTTTTCTTTTTTGATAGTTACATTTTTCTTTTTCTGCAGTTTTGCCTCATATCTAGAAGGACTTTTCCAACTCTAAGATTATATTTATAAAATGTAGTGTTTTCTTCCACTATCATTAAGGAATTGAGTTTTTCATTTAATTTTTGCAATATTTGGAACTAATTTTGGTCTAAAATATGAAGTAGAGAAAGAACAGTTGATCCTTGGACAATGCCAGGGTTAGGGATACCTGACCTCATGTTGTTAAAGCTTTTGGATTCCCCCCAAAACTTAACTATAATTCTTTAAAAAAAGATTTATTCATTTATGCATTCAAAACTGGCATACAGGCCAGAGTTAACAGGGGTGGTGAGGGGATTCACCAGAGACAGACTGGGAAGCAGAATAGGCAGGTTGGCTAGTAAGTACACTGCTGAAGGGAGCAGCAGGGGAGGTCTGCTGCACCATGTGTCCCCCCTGTTGGGGGACAAACTCCTGCTGAAGTGGTTGTGGCTTGGACTCATAGTGTTGTGCTTTAACCCGTTGTACCACCAGGGAGGGCCATAACTATGGTACTCTTATTGTATCTTCAGGGATTGATTTTAGGGCTCTGTGGATACCAAAATCCTTGGATACCCATGTCCTGTAATCAGTTCTCTGTTTCTATGGGTGCTACATTCCTGGATTCAACCAATAGTCATTTGTGGTTCATGGAATTCATGAATACAGATATGGGGTGCTAATGTATTCATATCTGTTGAAAAAAGATTGCAAATCCTTGTTCAAGGGTAAACTGTACTTACCTTCCTTGGATGGTTATCTAGTTATTTTAACATATTTGGAGTAAACTACCTTTCTCCCTAGTTTTTAGAAAAGCCACCTTTATATATCCTCATTCATACACATATGACTATGTGGATGTTTATTTGCATGTATTAATGCTTATATTTTTGTGTTTATAAACTATATGTAAACATTTATAAATATCTATATATTTAATATTTAATCTATGCATACAAAAGGGATGTAGGTCAGAGGTGTGGGTGTGATGAGAAGATTCACCAGAGACAGAGTGGGGAGCAGAGCAGGCAGGGCGACAAAGTACCTTACTGAGGGGAGCGGCAGGAGGGTCAGGAGAGGTCTGCCGATTTAATATGTGAGACATTTTGAACTTTTTTGTCCTATTGATCTTTCAAGTCAAGTGAACAATATGGGCAAGACAGAAAAGGTCTACTGTGCCATGTAGATTAGCTCCGTGGCCGGCCAGTGTCGGGTGATAGCTAAATAGCACTTTCTAACCCTGTGCTACCTCAGTGGCTCACCTTTTTTCACACTTTTCTTAATTGCTTTGTTTGCTTATTTTTCTGTGTGCACTGAAAATTATCTTACATAGTCTCTTTTCAGTTCTATTTATACTGTTTTAGGATTACATTATAATTAATAGATGAAGTTAGGGAGAATTGAGATCTTTAAAGCATTGAGCTTTTCAAGAAAATTGTGTGTTTTTTTCATTCATGTAAGTCTTATGTATATAAGGTCAGAGGTGCAGGGGGGCGGTGTATGTGTGAGAGGATTCACCAGAGACAGAGTGGGAACAGAACAGACAGATCTACTGAAATACACTGCTGAGGGGAGCAGAGGGTGTGGGTCAGGAGAGGTCTGCTGAGCCATGTGGGTCAGCTCCCTGGCCAGGGGTTGAACTCATGCTGCAGTGGCTATGGACAGCTTCACAGTGCTGCACTTTTAACCTGTTGTGGCACCAGGAAGGACCCTTAAGAATTTTTACATTATTCTTCATTTTGTACATTTTTTCATCTCAGTTGTAATCCCTGTGCACTTCCCACCACCGCTTCACCCATGTGCCCATCACCATTGTCCCATGTGTCTTCCCACCCCAGTTTTGATCTTGTTCCCCTTTTCTCTCTTCTCCTCCATTGAATATCTCTGGTTTACAGTTGTTGATGGTTTTTTTCCTTATTTTATACAATTATATATATGTGTGCGTGTGTATATTCCCCATCTCTTACACTACCACTGTGAGTGAAACCATCCAGTATTTTTCTTTTTCTTTCTGGCTTATTTCACTAAGCATAATCTTTTCCATTTCTCTCCATGTTGTTGCAAATGGCATGAGTTTGTCTTTTTGATTGCTGAGTAATATTCCATTGTGTATATATACCACATCTTCTTGATTCAGTGATCAATTGTGGGGCATTTGGGTTAATTCCACATCTTCATTATTGTAAATAGGGCAGTAGTAAACGGGTGTAGGTGTCCTTTTGAAAGAATTTCTAACAAAGTAATTGGAATATAGATTGTAGACAGAATTGCTGAAAAAAATTTCAGCTAACATCTCATATTTTACTCTAAACAGCAACACAATCTAAGAAAAGTGTAGGAAAATAAAGGAAGATGGGGCTCTTTGGGAGTTCTTCCAGCCTTAACAGTTATGATAGATGTTACCAGGTTCTTCCACAGACTAACTTGTGCAGGAATTACCACAAGCCCTAGAGTGAAGATATGTTCCACCACAGGAGTGTGAAATACTCGTATGTGGTTTATTTTCTCCTTCCTTCACTCTCCCCTAGCTTTTTGGAAGTGATACCATCTCAGCACCTTTTAAGATAAAGGACTTGTTTGAATTTTCTTTGGTATACATTTTTATAATCATACAGTGTTTCTGTTACTTCTCTTTAAAAAAAAAATAAATAAGTAGTTATGCATACAAGACCTGGAGTGTAGGCCAGAGGTGCAGGAATGGTGAGAGGACTCACCATAGACTGAGTGGGGAGCATAACAGATCTATTGACTTAAATTCACTTCTGGAAGGAACTTCAGGAGAGACAGGAGAGTTCGCGGTACTATGTGTGGGTCAGTTCCCAGGCAGGGGATCGAACTCGTGCTACAGTGGCTGCTGATAACTTCATATTGCTGAAATTTCACCCCTTGTGCCACCAGAGAGACCCTATTACCTCTCTTTTGCTTGGAACTTTTACACTGCTATTCCCTTCCCATTCAGTTATTAAAAGATTTCACGGGACCCTCCCTGGTGGCACAGCGGGTTAAAGTGCAGCACTGAGAAGCTAAAGCCACTTCAGCATGAGTTCGATCCCTGCCCCGGAGGTGACCCACCTGGCACAGCAGACCTCACCTGACCTGCCTGCTGCTCCCCTTAGCAGTGTATTTCGTCAGTCAGCCTGTTCTGCTCCCCACTCTGTCTTTGGTGAATCCTCTCACTGCCCCTGCACCTCTGGCCTGTACCCCAGTATCTTTAAAAAAAAAAAAAAAGATTTCACAGGACAGACATAGCTTCTAACAAGTATAGACCTCTTTCATACACTTTTCCCCAATAAAGGGTGAAGAGACTTGGAGCAAATCAGATCTCAGATTCTGTGTTGTTTTAATATGGTATACTTTTTGTTGAAACTCAGATACCTTATAAATGGTTATAGGTATAGAACATTTATAATGAAGAAAAACCAGCATTCAGTTACCTGTATGGGTATTCCTAAGTAAATGCTTCAGATGATTCAGAAAAGGAGTTATATGAACTTGGCTTAAAGCATGAGATTTGGAATCTCATGAGTCTGTTGCCAATTTTTTTTAATATAATAGTTTATTTTTTCATCATTTTGTACATTTTTTTTTCCATCTCAATTGTAATCCCCGTGGTTGTTTTTGTTTTTAAAGATTTATTGTGCATACAGAACTGGGCAGAAGCACAGAGGCGGTGAGAGGATTCACCAGAAACAGAGTGGGGAGCAGAACAGGCCAACTGATGAAGCATGCTGCTGAGGGGTGCAGTGGGTGGATCAGGAGACCCACGCCATGTGGGTCACCTGGGTCAGGCGGGGATTGAACTCATGCTGAAGTGGATAGCTTCTCAGTGCTGTGCTTTAACCCTCTGCACCACCAGGAAGGGCCCTGTTGCCTGTTTGTAAAAAACTAATGACTTTCCTAAAAAAAAAAAAAAACTAAAAAAATTAACAGTTGTCCTTACGTTACGTTTTGAGAGGGACTGAAATCTGAACGACAAAATGCAAACTGAGCGTTTTTCTGTGAAGCTTGGGTTTTATTGACGGAAATTTCATGTGCATTTCTACTTGTTAAGCATAACTATAGCTCACATAGTGTGCAGTCACATACTTTACAGCATATAACTGGTATTGTATTTACTGTTAAGATTGTTACTAAATGCTGTTTTTTGAAGTAAAAAATTTGATTTTTTTTTTTATAGCTATGTCTGGTGAGAATAGAGAAAATACACTGTTTTATTCTGAAATTCCCAAAACCATCAACAGAGCAGCAGTCTTAATGCTATCTTGGAAGCCTCTTTTGGATCTTTTTCAGGTAGGGTTTATCATTGTTTTTGTTTAAAGGTTTATTTATTTTTGCATAGAAAAACTGAGGTGTGGGCCAGAGGTGTATGGGTTAGAGGATTTGCCAGAGACAGAGTAGGGAGCAGAACAGTTCAGCTCTACTGAGATATACTGTTAAGGGAGCAGCAGGCTAGACAGGAGAGGTCTCCTGTGTCATGTGGGTCAGCTCCCTGGCTGGGGATCAAACTCATGCTGCAGTGGTGGTGGAGAGTTTCATAGCATAGTGCTGGGCTTTAACCCGTTGTGCCACCAAGAATGCCTCAAAAATGTCAGAATTAACACTGATCTTTTTACAAATTTGGTGATTTTAATCTGTTGGAGCAAACAAATGTACAAATGTGTATGTATGTGTTAGTGTTTAATTATATATTAATTTTTAGAGGTGATAGAGTGAACAAAAAAGGTTTTTTTAAAGTAGGTTTTTAGCAGCATTCCAAGGTCATCTCATTTTTCTTTTAAGATTTATTTATTTATGGGGTACAGGCCAGAAGTGCAGGGGCAGTGAGAGGATTCACCAGAGACACAGTGGGGAGCAGAACAGGCAGATTGACAAAGTACACTGCTGAGGGGAGCAGCGGTCAGGTCAGAAGAGGTCTGCCATGCCATGGGGTCACCTTTGGGGCATTGGGGATCAAACTTTAGCTTTAGCTTCTTAGTGTTGTGCTTTGACCCACTGTGTCTGGTCATCTCATTTTTAACCTCATATTATATTTTGCAAAGATGTATATTAATTTAATAACCTTGAAAAATATTTACTTTCAGTATACTTGATTAATTTTAGAGTAATACATTATATGTTCTTTTTTCTAAAAATATGGAAGAGTGTTTAGTGAGGGACTATGTGGATGTAATTTTATGTTAGCATTTAATAGATTTGTTTTAATTTACTTTTTAAATTTTATATATTCATCAGTTAGCTAGCTTGGGAAACCCCTCATCCTCATCAATCAGATAAGTGACCAGCACATTGTTGGACTTTATTAAAGGATAGTATTATTAGATATATTGAAAAGGTATTAAAGGCAGTTGATCTTTGAGAACTAAGCACTTCACATGTTTTTATCTAAGTTAATCTCCACAAGGCTGAATTATAGGATTAGTTATTTTGAAAGTGAGAAAAATTGCTTTTGAAGAAATTAAGTTACTTAACCAAAAGTCGTTTAAGGATCAAAGCCTACATTCAAACCACTGGACTTCTACATCTGTTTCTTAACTATATGCAGGGCTGCAATAGTACTGTGGGTTGTAGAAGAACTTGATTGCCAAACTAAGATGATTGAGACTTTATTCTTATTTAAATTATACAGTAATCATCTAAAGAGCCCTTACTAAGAAATAATTCAGATTTCCTTAAATTCATCTCCTTCAAGTTGCTGACAAATTTGAGGGTCAAGCAAAATGGAGACTTGATACTATTAGAAATGCTGGTATTTCAGTACTAAAAGCAAAAGCAAGCAAGCTTTAAGAAAACAGGAATAGACTTCTCTTTCCCTTTGCATTTAGGCAACACTGGACTATGGAATGTATTCCCGAGAAGAGGAACTATTAAGAGAAAGAAAACGTATTGGAACTGTTGGAATTGCTTCTTATGATTATCATCAAGGAAGTGGAACATTTCTGTTTCAAGCTGGTAGTGGAATTTATCACATAAAAGATGGAGGGCCACAAGGATTTACTGTAAGTTGGTATTACTTGTTAAATATGTTTTTGAGTTGTAGAAGTTATTTCACACCCAAATTAGAAAAGTCATTAGTAAAAAACCCAAAATATTCTGTTTGCCCATCAACAGCAGAAACTAGTAGTCCAAAAAAGAAATGAAAGAGGGATATTACTTTCAATTTGAGAGTTAATGATTTCTCCAGTCACATTACATACAATTTTTAAAATGCTAAAAACCCTATGTAGGAAGATATTGTAAAGATACAGTAATGGCATAGTAATCAATGTCAACTTTCTATATATGCCTTGAGGGAGGAAGGTATTTTGGAAGATAATATTAACACAGGTTAATCCATTAAATGGTTTAAATATTTGAATTTCTTAAGGAAAGAGGGACACCTGCATAGACAGAGGCAGGCAAGAGCGCTGCCTAAGTATTGATTTTATTACAGGCAATTCCTTATGTGTTGTTAGAGCAATTCTTTTTTTAAGATTTACTGGGGTGCAGGTCACAGGTGCAGGGCTGGTGAGAGGATTCACCAGAGACACAGTAAGAAGCCAAACAGGCAAACTGACGCAGTACGTTGCTGAAGGGAGCAGCAGGTGAGGCAGGAGAGATCTGCTGTCACCTCCCAGGCCAGAGATTGAACTTAATGTTGAAGCAGCTACAGCTAGCTTCATAGTGCTTTAAACTTGCTCCAGCAGGGAGGGCCCTAGCGCAATTCTTTTCTAAGATTGACTTATTTATGCATACAAGAATTGGCTTACAGGCCAGAGGTGCAGTGGGGTTAGAGGATTCACCAGAGACAGAGTGGGCTACAGAACATGCAGACTGACTGAAAAACACTGCTGAGGGGAGCAGCTGGTGAGACAGGAGAAGTCTGGGCCATGTGGGTCACCTCCCTGGCAGGGGATCCAACTTGTACTGCAATGGTTGCAGATAATTTCATTTATGCAGATAATTTCGTGCTATGCTTTTACCCCTTGTGTCACCAAGGAGACCCTGTTAGAGGAGTTCTCTGAAAGAATTTTGATAGCCCTAGCTTTCATTAGATTTTTATGAGCAAACTATTTTAATTTAAATTGAAATATCTACTGAGGCATTTAGTAAATAGTAAATATTTTAATAAAAGATTTTAACAAACAGTAATTACTCCATTAAACAGCTTTGGGCAACAAAATTCTTGAAGTGTTATTGTTATCTTTATTTCCCCTATTGTTAGCCTTTGCCTTTTAACTCATAGTAAAAGAAAAAAGAAATGAGTCCCCTTTATACAAAAATATTTTTCTTGAGACCAGTTATAATAGTTGACATTCTACCTAAATTGTTCATTTTATAAGAAGGGTGCTATCAAATCAGTGTGTGGTTATGTGTGTATGCATATATGTGTATAAAGACCTGATACTTGCCTAAAATACTTGCCTTATTCTTCTAGCAACAACCTTTACGGCCCAATTTAGTGGAAACCAGTTGTCCCAACATTCGGATGGATCCCAAATTATGCCCTGCTGATCCAGATTGGATTGCTTTCATACACAGCAATGATATTTGGATATCCAACATTGTAACTCGAGAAGAAAGGAGGCTCACCTATGTGCACAATGGTAATGCATAGCTCATTTAAATTTAAATTTAATTTGCTTTTGCTTAACATTTTGAAATTGAAGTGAACTGGGTCATCCTTAATTTTAAGTTCAATCATAAAAGTTAAAAACTACAGGTAACTGGTAATGTATCATTCATACTGTTTATATAATGCTGCCTTTCTCTAGTGCTAATTTTCAGACAACATAGCAATGGTATCTCTTGACATGATTGGTTTTTTAGCCTAAAATAAGACTACCATATTCCCCCAAACTATAATCTTATTAAAATAAAAGTTTAATTAAAATTTTAAAAAATATTTATCACAGTGATTCTTTGATTGTTCACAAATGTTTTAATGGATGAATCCTATGACCACGTTCAAGTGTATGGTGTCAATAACCCACCTTTGGAAATGTTACTTGATGTTGGGAAAGTTCTACCATCTTTGCTGAAGGGAGCATTTTCCATTGAGAAATAAAAGTTTAATTA